GACGCTGCTGAGACGCTGCTGCGCCGCTGCTGAGACGCTGCTGCGCCGCTACTGAGACGCTGCTGAGACGCTGCTGCGCCGCTACTGAGACGCTGCTGAGACGCTGCTGAGACCTGAGACGCTGCTGAGACGCTGCTGCGCCGCTACTGAGACGCTGCTGAGACGCTGCTGAGACCTGAGACGCTGCTGAGACGCTGCTGAGACGCTGCTGAGACCTGAGACGCTGCTGAGACGCTGCTGAGACGCTGCTGAGACGCTGCTGAGACGCTGCTGAGACCTGAGACGCTGCTGAGACCTGAGACGCTGCTGAGACGCTGCTGAGACCTGAGACGCTGCTGAGACGCTGCTGAGACGCTGCTGAGACGCTACTGAGATGCTGCTGAGACCTGAGACGCTGCTGAGACGCTGCTGAGACCTGAGACGCTGCTGAGACGCTGCTGAGACGCTGCTGAGACGCTACTGAGACGCTGCTGAGACGCTGCTGAGACGCTGCTGAGATGCTACTGCGCCGCTGCTGAGACGCTGCTGAGATGCTACTGCGCCGCTGCTGAGACGCTGCTGAGACGCTGCTGAGACGCTACTGTGCCGCTGCTGAGACCTGAGACGCTGCTGAGACCTGAGACGCTGCTGAGACGCTGCTGAGACCTGAGACGCTGCTGAGACGCTGCTGAGACGCTGCTGAGACGCTACTGAGATGCTGCTGAGACCTGAGACGCTGCTGAGACGCTGCTGAGACCTGAGACGCTGCTGAGACGCTGCTGAGACGCTGCTGAGACGCTACTGAGACGCTGCTGAGACGCTGCTGAGACGCTGCTGAGACGCTGCTGAGACGCTACTGAGACGCTGCTGAGACGCTGCTGAGACGCTGCTGAGATGCTACTGCGCCGCTGCTGAGACGCTGCTGAGATGCTACTGCGCCGCTGCTGAGACGCTACTGAGACGCTGCTGAGACGCTGCTGAGACGCTGCTGAGACGCTGCTGAGACGCTGCTGAGACGCTGCTGAGACGCTACTGTGCCGCTACTGAGACGCTTCTGAATCAGAGGATTCCTGGTGTAACAGTTCCACCTGCAGAGAAATCTCAGCTGTGGTTCTTCACCATCGCTGCTCTTCGTTCGTCTCTAGTAGAACTTTAGTAGACAATCTGCTTCCTGTTTACACCGACACGCACATGCTCAGTGTACGTGAACGGTCACATGATGTGATGTGGACTTGGTGCTTCATGTCTGAACGTAAACACGCAGGCTGCAGGTGAATTTAGGCTTTGAGCTGTCAGATGCAGGTAGAGGTGGATCATTCAGATCCCGACGAGCTCAGTGATCCATGACATTAAACATTCGGACGGCTCAGAGATCAGCTCGCTCCACCACCTGACGGAGCTCTGCTGCACGTTTAGCTTTGATCCTGATTTCTGATGCTCAGGCCCTGCAGGCTGCACACAGACGGCAAATTAATTACAAAAGGCAGAAATAAAACGATAAAGACGTGAAGGACGGAGATAAAACTCTGGACGGGGATGAAAAGCTCAGAGGGAGCACAAGAATAACAGACCTTAATCTGAAGATTATTCAAACCCGCATAATCAATCAATCTCCTTCTTCATATAATGGTAATCCACATTGTTTCAAAAATGAACATAAGTTTCTGAGCAGCGGGTTAATCCAACCTCAGCACCTTCTTTTCAGCTTACACGAGTCAAACCGATGTTCTGATTTTGTGAAAACCTTTATAATCTGCAAAAACTGAAGCGCCTGAAGCTGCGTCAGCGTTTCATTACGACTGCAGAGGAAGAAAGAGCGAAGCCGGAGCGTTTCAGAGACCCTGAAGTTCCATCAGACGAATCGAAACACACAGATGACCTCGTTCACAGCAGGCAAAGTGAATCTGGTGCAAACAGGATCCAAGACGTGGGTCTGTGGGCCGGTGATGGCGCAGTGGATATGACCTGGGTTCAATTCCCCACTGTGACACGGCAGCTAAATGAATAAATGTGATGAGTCGTGCAGAAGATATCTTGTTCGAATGACAAAATAATTTGTGCTCATAAGAAGAAAATGAGGATCGTGTTGATCTTCTGATCTCGTGTGAAGGAAGATCCTGATCTCAGATTTTCTTTTATTATTATTATTATTGTGCAGAACAAGAACAAGCTTTCTAATTTACGTTCACACAATAAATAGATCCTGAATGACCAGATGTTAGATCCCAGATCCAAACGCATCATCTGCTCACAAGATGAAAACTAGATCTGGATCTTTTCCAAGAAAGAGAAGTTCCATCTAAAACCAGGTGAGAAGATAACTTAACATGATCCACATGTTGGGTGAGACGATACTGCTCAGGAGCTCCACGGAGGAAGAAACCAAATGAATTTCTTACCAGAGCTCGATGCGGTGAGGAACGTGTTCATCCTGCAGCAGCAGCGTCGGCAGGAGCTGATGTTTCAGCTCTCTGCAGGTTCTCCTCCTGCAGACGAGGCGTTTTCTTTACCTGTCCAGGTGTCCTGTGGTGGACGTTTATCTCTTTTATACTTTAACAATCTCAGTAGTAAGTTACGTTACACAATATAAAAAACCTCTTTATTTCTGACCCAGCGAGCCCCAACTTATTTTAATATAAATGAATAAAAAGATTCATGTCAAAGAGAAAGAACATTAAAGTTTAACTTCACACAGACAGAAGGAGCTCAGAACTGGTATTTATACGATTAATAACTCTCGGAGAGTTTTCAGTCTTCTGGTTTCAGTCTGAGACGACAAACTGCAGGAAAAGAGTCAAATAAAGGAGAAAGTACTTTGTACTTTATATATATCACGACATTTATTCAGACATTAAAAGGTATTTTAATTATTTAAGATTTTACTTTCAAATCATATAAAGTTTGTTCATAAAAAGTGTATTTTATTTTAAAATCTGCTTATGGAGTCATTTCAGCCCTTATTGTCTGATACTGTGTACAGATTCAGTTTTAAAGCCAGCGAACGTGTTTAAAAAAGATTTAAAAGAAAGATTTGAAACCTTCTTGTTTCAGGATTTAGAAAATTAAACACATGATTTCAGTACAAAACTCAAATATCTTCAAATATCAGTCATTTCTATAATAAATCAAATTAAACATGAATACTTTTACTTCAGTAGGATTTTAATATAGTACTTTTACTTGTAATGAAGTATTTTTATACTGTTAAACTGTGGTATTAATACTTTTAGTTAAGTTACTGATCCAAATACTTCTTCTGAGCAACAACACTCATCATCATTTAATTAAAGAATCTGTCTCTGACACTTTATTATAACATTTAAATAAATATAAATATGTCGTAACCGTCTCTTCATCGGCTGTTGCAGGAAACCAAACTCCTCCTGATGAAAGTCAGTTTGTAAAATTAGGGCCAAGTTAGCGTTTAATCCCTGGGGATTGACTGCAGGCTGGCAGGCACTCTGTGTGTGTGTAAGAAGGTAAAAATGGTCAACTGGTTTTAAAAAGCAATTAGAGGAATCTGCTTATCAGAGATAATTAAAGCAAATTTAAACTCCTCTTTAATCTGTTTTTCTTTTTATTTATTTCTTATTGTGACGTCAGATTACAGATTACAGCTGGAAATCAGTTTGAATCAGACAACGTTATTTCCACTCCGTATTTATCAAATAATAAATATGGAAAAACAATCACTTTTAAATAATAAATTATTTTATATTTCTGTGTCAATCTGCAACAAGTGACAGTGATCATTTCCCCTGAAGCTGTAAAAATATCCATTTTATTACTTTTGGTCTTTATGTACAGTCAATATATTATTATAGGCTACATATATATGTGTATATATATATATATATATATATATATATATATATATGAAGATGTATGTGACAGTGAAGCTCAAGTCATTGAGTCAGAGCTCCTTTTTGCTTTTAATAGTTTATTTCTGCTTTTGTTATTTAATTTCCCACTTCTTGTTCTTATATTATATTATACATTATATATTATATATATTATAATACATTATTATATAAAAGTATATATTAGTATATGTGTCTGAGGTGGACAGGACTTTATTCTTCAGTGCATTTTAGTGGGAATTACTGAACATAGATTAATGATACAAAATATAATCATCACATAAACGATTATTTATTATTACAGGTTAAAATAAAACTTTATTGATCCCTTGGTGAAATGAACAGCCAGCAGAATATAACGTGGTTAAAAGCAGCTGCAGCATCAAAGTGATGAACGCATCAATAATTATAATCCAGTCATGTAATATGAATTATTATATATAAATATTATTCTAACATTTCATTTCGATGTACAACCTTATGTAGTATAATGATAAATAAAGTTCTTAAATTTTATTCTGCATAATGAGAACTTTGACTTCCACCACGATATACTACTATACTGTAATATTTTACTATTTATATAACAGGCTGTTCCACACAGGTACTGTCACACTTTTCAGCTGTTCTGAATACTTCATTCATCATTTAATAATATTTATTATTTTAACATTTAAAACAACATTAATCTACAGAATCAGATTAAATACCTGCTGAACAGAAACCTCTTTATTTATTATTATATTATTATTATTATTATTGTTGTTGTTATTGTTGTTGTTGTTATTATTATATATTATTATTATTATTATTATTATTATTATTATATTATTATTATTTGTTGTTGTTGTTGTTGTTGTTGTTGTTATTGTTGTTGTTATTCTATAGGCCTACTATGATGCGCGTGTCTTCGGCTCTGTATTGATCCGTATCGGGGCCGCGGGGGGTCACGTGTCTCCGCCTCTGATCAAAGATCAGCAGCAGGAATTAAAACCTCTTCGTTCCACTCAGAGAAAATCCAGATCGGATTGAGGGAAATTGGTGGCAATTAATCCTCCGGGATTGAGCGGGGCCCAGCGGGACCCTCCCCCCGCCGCAGAGCTCACTGCTGATTGGACGCTGCCGTGACCCCGAAGACCGGAGCCAGATAAAGGGAGCCCGCCACCCGGACTGTCCCGGTCTATCCTCCTCATCCTCACTCTAGAAGAGTCCAGTTCCTGATGAGCAGCATGACGGGCCGGGAAGAACTCTGCGAAGAGAAGCCCAAAGTCAAGATGTTATCTCCGGGCTTTGGGATCGACAAGTCCCGGCTGCACGGCTCCGGGTTCCGGTCCAAAGGCTTTGCCATCACCGACCTGCTGGGCCTGGAGTCGGACCTGCAGGTGCGGCAGCAGCCCGGCGGCCCCGCGGGGTCGGGACTGTCGGCGGCGGGATCCGGGCCCGGGTCGGAGCCGCAGGGGGTCGGAGGCGGTCTCGGCGGGTTCTCCTTCCCGGGCGGGTCTCTGCCGCTGGGCCTCGGGTTCCTGTGCAGCCTGGCGGCCCAGCAGCCCGCCGGGGCGCCCTGCTTCCTGCCGGGACACCTGCCGCTGCTGCAGGCCCGGGCCGACAGCCACTACATGCAGAACCTGGAGGCCCAGAGGGACGCTTATTCCGGTACGGCTCGGGTCCACGAACCTTTCTATTGTTCCGGAGGGTTTTGGTTTCGCAGCGGAGCTTTAACTTCTGAAACGGGTTCCTCTTTTTGTGGAGAACAGGTTCCTTCTGGTTTTTATTTGGCTTTTATGTTTAATCTGGATCTGGTCTCTCAGGTTCGCCTGAGTTCGGCTCTGCTCGGGTTTCAGATTCAGCTTCGTTTCTGTGAAACAGGAGCTTCAGGGTTTTGTTTTTTAAAGTCGTTTCCGTTCAGATTAATTTATTGATCAGGATCAGAAAGTCTCATCCTGAGTCGGAGGATTTTAACTGTTGTTTAAATTCACAGATTAAATCGAAACTTTTTTAATTAGCGGCCTGAATGAATGTTTGTAACTAAAAGAAAAACAGGAATCCTCCACTTTAATTATTAATCATATTTATTTCTTTGGTTTCCCGCGCGAGGATGAGCTAACAGCTGTTTGTCCTCCCGCAGATGAAGAATGTCTCTCCGACCGCAACGACTCCAAAAGCTCCGCGAGCTCTCAGAAGAGGAAGAAGAGGCGGCACAGGTGAGGCCGATCGATCACCTGCTGCCTTACACGATATTCATTTATTGTTTCTGGATTTATAAACACTTTTATTTCTGATCACTCAATTTTTTATAGTAAGAAATGTTTCTTAATATGAAAATATTTTAACTGAATCAGAATCAGAAATACTTTATTGATCCCGGATCGAAAATTGTTGTTGACTTTTAATCAATGCATTTAAGAAATAGAAATAATAATAAAAATGTTATATAATAATAATATTATAATAGTAATAAAAGCAAGTGAGAAAGTATCATTAAAGGCGAAAAGAAACACAGATGGAAGATGAAGATGGAATAAATAACAAACACTTCAAAAATATATAATTAAATGTTTGTTTTAAGTTAAACTTTGGTTTTAAATAAAGTCACACTAACAAACAATAATTGTGTTGAAGAAATGTAAACGTGTTTTAGAGTTTGAGGAAATAAAATGACATTTTAAACCAGTGAATCTGCAGCTATGTTTATTACATAAAGTTTGAAGGGAGAAGATATTTCTGCAGTTAAAGGTCAGCGTGCTACTTCCTGTCGGTCTCACGCTGCTGTTTCCTGCAGGACGGTGTTCACGTCCCACCAGCTGGAGGAGCTGGAGAAAGCTTTCCACGAAGCTCATTACCCCGACGTCTACGCCCGAGAGATGCTGGCCATGAAGACGGAGCTGCCCGAGGACAGAATACAGGTGGGACATCGTCAGTACACAGCTGACCAGAGATTTACACACCAGACTCTTCATAAAAACATAATAAAAGTTTAATTTGGTTTCTTAATCCTATTTTTATTCAAATTTTTAAATAAACAAAAACTTCCTGGGGAAAAAAGAAAGTTTCAAAACAACAAATGTCTCCTAAAAACTACACTGACTTGCCACTAAATGGTTTTCCCAAATATGTTGGAAGTGGTTCCCAACATGGGGCTCAGGAACCCTCCAGTGGGTCAACAGAGACACTTGATGGGTCATAGGATGATTTCTGGGAGGGACAAAAGAAAAACTCACTTACAGACGGATTAAACTTTTTTTCCAGGCCTGGTTATGAGATTTTATATGTTATCACATTTTATTCCAGGTGTGGTTCCAGAACCGGCGTGCGAAGTGGCGAAAGCGTGAGAAGTGTTGGGGTCGCAGCAGCGTCATGGCGGAGTACGGCTTGTACGGCGCGATGGTGCGTCACTCCATCCCGCTGCCGGAGTCCATCCTCAACTCCGCCAAGAACGGCATGATGGGATCCTGCGCGCCCTGGCTGCTCGGTGAGCCGCATACACGTCAGTGCCACGCACATGCACCACACCACGCATCCACACACACTGAACACACGCCGAACACACGCCGAACACACGCCGCAGCTTAAACAACACCAACATCTTCATCAGTCAACACACCTGTGTCACAGCTAGAAGAAATCTGTAAGGGGAGTTTGGGTAGGCCTATATATTTATCATATATCATAATTAAGATGAAAGTGATCAGCAGTCAGTACCAGCAGACATCAGCATTACTGAGTTTAGTTTCATCATCACTTCAGTAAACCAGGCTGCAGATCCCTAAATATTTCTCAGGTGGAGATTAGTTGTTATAAATATTTACGTCCTCTAAATGCAGGTGGAGCTGTTGTTAGCTAACGTTAGCATGCTAATATCTGAGCCGTTTGGAGTAAAACAAGTTATATGAAGATAAGTGCTGAAGATCACATTTCAGTAAAATTTTAAAAAAGTTACTGTGTGGCTAACAACAGTTAGCTTAGCATAATCAGGTATTTCCCTCTCATTATAAACTGTATGAACTCTGAAACACAGATTTCTCTTCGTGTATACAGACAGAAATAAGATTAAACAAAGTTTTATCTTTTAGCCTCTAAAACTGTCATGTTTGGAAGCTATGCTAGCTCATGACGCTACAATGACTTCCTGTTTACATAGTTGGTTGGTTGCTCTTGACTGGACAGATTTACACACCATTAAAGTCTTCACTGGCTGAGACGTTTTAGTGGTGCAACCTGATTTAGTTTAGGGGGGAGTTAGCCTTTATGACATTAGCCACTTCTAGAATCTCTTCAGCACATTTTTAAAAAATAATAATAATGTTTCTGAATCAGACTGAACTGAATCTGTCCTCACAGGAATGCACAAGAAGTCCATAGAGATGTCCAAAAAGTGTTCAAGCCCTCCACAGTCAGACTCAACCCGCGGCGACTCGTTCTGCGACGCCCCCCGAGGCTCGCCACTGCCGCCCCGTCGCTCTGAGCCAGCACATGAGGTTGGGGAGGAAGAGGAAGAGCTGCTGGAGATGGAGGATGAGGAGGTGGAGGAGGAGGTGGCCATCGACCTCTCCAGCTCCTCCAAACAGCAGCAACAGGAGGCCGGAGGCTCGATAAGGTCCGCCTCCTCGCCCCGGCGGCAGAGCGGCTGTGAGTCGGACGAACACAGCTGAAGGTTGGAGGAGTCAAACACGGTGGCAACTGTTCAGTGATGGCAGTAGGAGCGCAGGGACGTGATTGGCTCTTCTTTCAGGGATCACAAGAACAGCCAATGAGCAAACAGCCGTGACGTCAATTGTTACTATGCAAATTACCACATAAAGCTTTAAGGATGAATAGCTTAATGCTAGCTAGCCTTTGGCTAATGTTTTAATATGCTTACAAAGTTTGCAGTTAATTTAAAATGTAACATTAGAGAACTAATATTTTAGCATGCTAATAAATGTTAGCATCAATAATTCATTAACTAATGTGCTGATAAATATAAACTGTGTTAGCAATGTTGTTGCAACATGAGGATGTGAAATCACTTACTACAATATTCTATGATGCTAACAAAACATACTAATAATTTACAGTCAATTCAATTAATCGTTTAATTTAAGTAGTATTACACTAAAAATCTCTATTTTGGACTACCATTTTATTTTTAATATAATAAGATATGTTAGCATGCTAAAATATTAGCTCACGGTTATCATTTTACAATGTAACAAACTTTTACAGGTATAATATTATTGTTAATAATATAATACTGTTCCTAACATGCTAGTAAATGCTAGTATGCTAAGCTAGTAGCCTGTGGGTAATATTTTTATCACGCTAACAAACATTAATAATGTAAAATGTAATATGTGTGCTGGGATATCTGTGGGCAATATGATAACAAGTATTAACTGGTAGTTGTCAAAGATTGATTAGCGTGTTAGCAAGCTAACGACCATCAGGACGTTTCAGGCTGATGGTAGTTTTGGGAAAAAAGTACTTTTATGATTTTTTTATCCAGGGATTTTTAAACAATGATGCACAATCTATTTATAAATTTACGTCTGCTAGAAAACGCTCTGTGCTCCCAGGATGCAAACAAGCTATCGTGACGTGGAAACGCCGCCACAATCAGATCGACCTTGAGGAATCGGACTGAGTCTTTTCTAAAAGACGTGTGAACTGTTTGAGGAGGATGTAAATGTCTCTGTCTGTGTGTTTATCATTATTGTACTGAGAGTATGTTTTATATCCTTGTTTTTTTGGAAAAGAAGAGGCTATTTAAGAATGTGTGATTCCTGTTTGTTTCTGTGTGTTTTATAGTTTGACTGTCTGTCAAACTGCCTGAATGAATGTAATTTAAACGTATTATTTAAAAAAAGGCTGTTTATTATTATCACGTGTATGTACAGAAGCAGGTTCAGCAGGTTGGGGAATAAAAAACAAAGTATTTTTGGAATCACTGGGGTCTATTTTTGGTCATTCAAGGCAGTTTTACATTTACATTTAATTAACATTTGATTCATCACAATGAATGAGCACTAATTAAACTTTATAACACATTGAACACCTCTGTTTCCCCAAAATTCAGATTTTTCAGGAAGACTTAGTTCGGTTTAGACGTTAGTTAGAGAACATTATACACATACAGAGGTCCCATTTTCCTTTTCATATTTGAAAATGTTTTATTACTGCTGAAAATGAAAACTAAACTGACAACTAATTATTTTGCGTACTGCCGTAATAAATGTTGACTTTTAATTTGACTGAAAAAATATGCAACGTAATTTGAATGAAATTAATGTGCAAACTGGACTTGGAATTTGAATCATAACTCTTTGCTTTTCGTTGATTAATATCAAATCAAATTTATAACTTCATTTGTTTACTTTGGCAGATTTAGTTGTAGTCAGTAGGAACGGTATTTAAGATATATCTCAGTCTTACTTTACAATTAGATGTCTGAAATTGTAGTATAATATATTAAGTTTAATAATTACTAAAATAAAGATGGATCACAATTATTTAATAATAAGACAGATAAAGTCATAATTTATTTTTTTAAAAATTTTAAAAATAAGTTTAAAAACAAGTTTTACTAATAAACGTTAGCTTTTTGGCCCAAATGTTTTCTCCACGTTTGTCCAATTTTATTAATACAAAAAAAATGTAAAAGACATTTAAAAAATGAAAAACCAATATAAAAAGTTTTTTTCAGATATTTATTGAAATTATAAACACAAAACAATCAATATAAGAAGAGAAACTACATAAATTAAAACAAAGGAAGGAATAAAAAGAGTAACGTGTATTCAAAATAAAATATCAACTTTGTCACAGTTATAGTCTTGACTGCCTTCTTGTTCTTAATGTTTTTCATCGTCTCTATATTGATGCAGTTTTTGGAGGAAATGTCCAAATTGTGGTTTGGAGTCGGTCCATTTTTTCTTGTGGGACAAAAACTAAAGTTCCAACAGCGGGCGTAAGCGGAAGTAAGCCATTAGCCGTGGGACAAGACACCGCGTCACTTCCTGTGTCGCATTAGCCGGTTTGGTTGCTAAGCTAACAGGCTGCTAAGTACACGAAGTCGTTAACATGGCGGATTTAGTGAGTTTTAAAAACGAGGTCACGCTCGTCGTGAATAACCTCGCCAAGGCGGTGCTGACGGAGGTTCTTACCGCGGCGGAGAAAGTCTCTCTGAACAAACAGAGTCCCGAAGCGGAGGTAAGCTAACGGCGGCTAACTGGAGCTAACGGCTAACTGGAGCTAACGGCTAACGCTACGTTAACCGTTTCGGTTCCAGGGGCTTCCGGAGCGCTCAGACTTACACCAAACTCCATCTAAAAATCTTCTCTTTAAGCGTTTTCAGTTAACAGTCAGTTGTTCCAGATTATAAACTTAGTTCGGTGAATTAAAAGAGACAAAAGTATTTTTGTTCCAGCCGCTCGCCTTCTGTCAGTGCGAAGCTGCTGCCTGCAGGGCCTGCAGCTTCAGACATGGCAGCTTCAACACGCTGAAATCTACCAACATCAGAGTGTGTGCAGCTAATCAATATAAAATCAGTTTGAGTCACTTTCAGGCAGAAGCTCTGATCAGTATTCAATTCAGTTTTATTTATAAAGAGCAGGTCTAGACCGAACTCTATTTACAGAAGCCCAACAGTTCCCACCAAGAGCAGCACTAGGAGACAGTATCCTTGTATCTAATGCAGTCTGTCCAATGGGAATGTTCCTTTTCTCTTTCACACTATTTATAAATAAATTATCTTAAAACAAGTGGGGTTTTGATTGTTGGACAAAACAGGACATTTGAAGATGTTTTATTTTACTGTTTTGTGTCCTTTTATAGATTAAAATGATTTAAAACTTCTGTTAATAGAAAAACAACAGATTCATTGATAAACAAAGTAATCGTTGCTCGCAGCCCTACATGAAACTGATATTTTAAAAAATAATACAGTATAATATATTGGTGAAGTCGTCTTAATTTGGTCAAAGTGCCGTCACAGCCACATTAAATAACTTTAATAATCTATATAATAAATGTTTATCTGAGTGAAGTTGTGTTAAAAACCTTTGAGACCCGGGTTACTCGTGGAAACGCCCTCCTGCCTGCTGCGTGTGATGAGCAGCATGTTGTAAACTTGACTTAATCTTTACGTTGTACCACTAAAGTTTTACAGTCTGTTGGTTAAAGGGGCTGAAGTGTTCGCCTCACCACCGTTAAACGTACCGATATCTGAATGGAGTTTGGTTTGCTGACTAAGTGATGGTTGTTGTGGTCGTCTCAGGAGAAGCTCGGCGCTCTGGTCGACGCTCTGTGTGTTGAAGCTGTGGATAAAATCCTGAAGATGGTCGAGGAGGCGGCCGTGCAGAGAGACCTGAAGGATCCACCTGAGACCACAGAAGGTGACACAAAGCCCCTTTCACACAGGGACTCTAGAGACCCAAACCAGGATCTGGGTCAGTCTGATTTGCTACAGTCGTATGATGATCTGAAGCTGTGATGTCACCGAGTGTTTCCTGTGTTTCAGGTGACGGCGGCGGCGAGCGCCCCCCCACAGAGCAGACCTACATGCTGGTTTACAGGGTCAGTGAGTGACAGCATGCTGATAGCAGAGCTCCTCCTGAGACCTGAACACACTGAACACCGGCCCCTGTTTTCTCTTTTGTAGAACGCCGCCGCCGACCCCGAGTGTGTGCTGCTGCCGCTGCAGAGCGAGGCTAATGCTAATGCTAACGGTGAGTTGGTCTGAATGAGCCAACAGTCCTGCACTGTGAGATGGTGGTCATCGCTAACTCCTGTCCGATAGAACAGAAACTCTTTGTTAGATCTAACACGCCAGATGTGTGTTTACAGCGTGTGGCGCCACCCAGACGTGGACCTAAACTTTAACTAAGCTTTGACTGAAGAGGTTTAGGGCACCAAAGAACTTCACATCACTAGTTGTCAAAGTGGGGTCCAGGGACCCCCAGGGGTCCTTGAGGGTGTTCCAAGGGTCCCCATCAAGAAGGGGAATCATTTATTATAATTCCATCCAGAAGTGACACAATGACAGAACAGATGCCTACTTGATGAGGTACCCTGGGACAAAATCTTATTGAACGGGGCCCCGTTCTAATTTATGTCAGTTTATGGTCGTTGATGTGAACGCTGACTGGTTTGCAGATCGTTGCCACTGTGTTGTTGTGATTATGGCGTCAGCTGCAGCAGCTGCTGTCTGCAAGGCTGGTTCACATCAGTAAATGAACATTATATCGTCCTTCTGCTCCTCTGTTTGAGGAGAGACCAAAGACCAAAGAGTTGAGCTCTTTCTAAAGACGAGCTGTCGCAGGAGGTTTAGAATCCCGTCCTCATTTCAGTGCATTAGTTTCCTTCCAGTTTACACGGGAACCTGTACATGGGTGGGGGGGTCGTTCGCAGCTAAGACAACATTTACCCGTTACCTACAGAGTCCACTCCACAGACTGTGTATCATAAATGTATATACTCAGCACGATATACTCTGGCTCTGCCTAACCAATCGTCACTGCTACTGTCTCGACCCAACAGCCAATCAGAGGCAGCGTAGGAGAGGTTTTTTTCAAGTCCGCTACACTGCGGAGTCTGAACACACCGAACGAGCTGTCCGTCGTCACCTTGGAACGCAAACCTGAAGTAAGCCAGCGTACGATGTTAACTGTCAGATAGTCGTGTTGGCGGTTTAATAACTCAGCCCGCTGTCATTAGCCAGTAATGTCAGCTGAGCTAATCGCTCATAAATGGAGACCAGCGGCAGAAATCTGGAGGTAGTTTAACATCAACAGGATGAAACGTGTCGGACTCCGTCAGTTTATGAAAGCGTTTGTTAAGAATGGTTTGAAGAAGAGCTTGCAACATGAAATGTTAATTAAATGGAAGTGCTTTGTAAAAGGTTTCTTTGCACTTATTTATTTATTTATTTAAGATAAAACAAGCTCCGGATCCTGAAATGACCCAGAACGCGCAGCAGCAGTCAGAAACTTTAACAGCTTCTCACAGTTTTCTCTCTGTGAACGTGACAAAAGAGGAGCAAAGACCGAGCGTGCTTTCACACCTGCCTCATGTAGCTCGTTGAATCGCACTAGAGTTCGTTTCCCCCTCGGTGCGGCTCGTTTGGGCACCAAAAGCGACCAAACAAGCGAGACCTCCTTGAAGAGGTTCAAACGAACTCTGGTGCGGGTCGCTTGTGGTGTGAAAGCAAACGAACCAACCTCAGGAGTTTATGACGGCAGAGATGTGAGCTGAGCTTTATTTCCAAAGCTGAACCTCTGCTGACAGCGACACGTGTTCGCAATCTCAGAACTGATCTGTGTAGTTTCTGAAAATCATTTGGGAACGTAAACTTGTCAGCGCGGGTTTTTCCCTTCGTCGTTTTTCAGCCCTGATCGGTTTACCCTCATTAATTATTCGTGTGGTTTCATTCATTGTGACGCTGACCTTCAATAACCTCCTTGTTCTCATGTTGCAGGTGAAAATAAATCCAGTCATGCGGCGGGTGAAGCCACAACTCTGCACAGCGAGCGCCACTCCCCCTCCCCTCCCCCGCAGGCCGACGTCCCCGACCACGAGTACGCTCGGCCGTCCTCGCCGCCGCCGGCTGAGGGCGGGGCCTCTGCAGCACGCAGCAGGAGACAGCGCTGCAGCCGGCGGAAAAAAGACCCGGGTGCGCCTCCGAGCGCAGAAACTCTCCAGCCGTGCTCGCAGTGCGCCATGCTGTTTCCAAACGCAGAGCGTCTCCACGACCACCAGAAGAAGGCTCACCCGGCGTGCTCGGTGTGCGGGGCGCCGTTCACCGGCATCCTGAGGCTCCGCGAGCACGAGATCAAAGAGCACGGGCTGCTGCCGTACACCTGCGACTACTGCCCCAAGAGGTTCAACCACAAAACTCACCGCGACCTGCACGTGAAGGCGCGGCACACCGGCGAGAAGAGCTGCCACTGCGACATCTGCGGGAAGGGCTACTCCTGCGTCAGCGTGCTGAAGACGCACAGGGCCACCCACTTCGAGAAGACGTTCACCTGCGACGTCTGCGGGAAGAGCTTCTACCACGCCTGCCACCTGACGCGCCACAAGCTGGTGCACCAGGAGGTGCGACCGTACCGCTGCTCCACCTGCGGGAAGGGCTTCACGCAGGCCGCCAACCTGCGCAGCCACCAGGCCATCCACACCGGAGAGAGGCAGCTCTGCTCCGTCTGCGGCAAGAGCTACCGCTGCCTGAGGAACCACGTCATCAGCAAACACTCGCACGAGCTCCCCGCCGACGAGCTGCCCGCCAGAGACGCCATCATCACCTGCCAGGTCTGCGGCAAGAAGTTCCCCAACCCGTCGCAGTTCAAGGTTCACCAGAGGAGCCACACGGGGGAGAAGCCGTTCCACTGCGACATCTGCGGGAAGAGCTACCGGCTGAAGGAGCTGCTGAGGGACCACAGGTACACCCACACCGGGGAGAAGCCCTACAGGTGCCCCCTCTGCTCCAAGACCTTCAACCTGGCCACCAGCTTCATGAGGCACCGCAGCATCCACACCGGGGAGACGCCGTACAGCTGCCTGGACTGCGGGAAACACTTCCGCCTGCTCACCTTCCTGAAGGCTCACCTGCAGACCAAAGCTCACCTGAAGCAGACGCAGACTGTCCCCTCGGACCCCGAGCAGGTCTGATCAGGGCTTCAGCCGGCCCTTCCCTCCGCTGGAGACAGCGATCAGCCTCCTCTGTGGGGACTCAGGGGTCCAGCGTCGGGTCTGGGGGAAGCTTTTCTTCGTGCTTTGTGGAGCGTCGGCCTGCTGGAGCCTTAAAATGTCCCGTCACTGGATCCAGACCAGGAAGACCAGCTCGTTTATACAGCGACGTGGCCTCGGGTCCCAGATTGACCGCGGTCAGAGGCGAGGTGTTGAAGGACGAGGTTCAGTCGGGTCGAGCTTCTGCTGCGGCGTCTCAGGCTCCAGGACCTCCGGAGTCCAGCTGGGCCGGTCGAACCTCAGGCTGCCGAGTGTCCCTGCAGCAGAGACACGAACGGGATCGGATGTTGTGGTGGTTTGGATCAGCAGATTATCAGTCGGAGACAAGCGGCCTCATTAGAAGTCATAAAGGTGATTAAACACAAAGGTGGGATTAACGTCGTATACATCCTCTGGATTACAGGCCGCCATGTTCTGACAGCAGCAAAGTGGGAATTATGTGCAGATTAAAGCCTCTGATGAAAACAACAGCAGATCTGAGGTCAGAGGTCACGGAGCCACAGCAGCACCGGTTCTGACCGGAAACAGGTTCCAGCGCCCGATCCTCTGTGTGGAAACAGCATCTGGGACTGCTGCTCGCACGATCTGTGTGGCAACCCGAGTCCGTCCGTCTGTCTGCAGATCTGCAGCAACAGAAATCTGGAAACGTGTTCAATAAAACAAACAGCAGCGACTCCGTTTGTTGTTTCTGTCATTTTAAATGTGTCCCAGTAATGAAATGATCAGCGAGGAGTAAAAACACAGATACTCTTACCTGATATTACTACACAAAAAAGTTCTGCTCGAGTCAAAGTACAAAAGTACCTGCTTTTAAAATATGTAAGCATGAAAAGTACACAGTACTATTAGTCTCTGTGTGTCGGGGGTGTCAGTCTTCTGATGTACCAGCTGTACTTTAGATTTAATTTATAACAGAACATCAGATTTATAAACTCTTCATGTGTTTGTGTGTAAAAATCTGACTAAATATAGAAGTAGAAAGTGGCATGAAAAGAAAATACTCAAATACAAGTACCTCAAATGTGTACTTGCGTACAGTACTTGAGTATTTGTGCCTAGGTACTGTCCACCACTGTAAATGATAATGGTCATTATGATGCAGTATCACTTCAGATATCTGACTTCACTGGCTTGTTCCGGAGCTTTCAGCCGAATCACACGTCCTCTCCTGCTGATGGAAAGAGAGTAAGTGGACCTTTAATCGTGTATTTATCAGGAACTACTCATCTGTTATTGGTTCTGAATCTTCAGTTCAGCTTTGACATAAAAACACACGGTCACACTGACCGATCCAGATCTGCTCTTCAGACTGCACTTCCTGAGCGGACCTGCAGGGGGCAGCAGATGTTAATCATCCCCGTGTTCGCCTGAGATCTGGGTCATCCGCTGCTGAACAGGACCACAGGTGTGTTATTAACAGAAAGGTACGGAGGCAGGACCTGGACGTTTTGCTGGGACTGATCCCTTTTACTAGAATCTGGTGTTTGTCAGGTTTCTCTTCCTCTGATTAAAGTCTGAAACGCTGTACTGAGATCAGTGTGATGCTGCGTTTATCTGACGGCCCGGTTCTGAGACTCCGAACACGAGACGGGATCAGTGACCTGGCTGGCTGAGTGAAACATGTCTGCAGAGGCAGCACCGTGCTGACACTGACAGCAACCAAAGCCAAAGAATAAGAAACATTTAAAATGTTAAAGCAAATAAACATTTATGTTCCCAAACAACAATAACAGAAAATCAGCAGGAAAATAAAACCTGTGGGTGTGAAGGTGAATCTGTGAAACACCACAGGAAACCAAAATATAGCCTACAAATTATTTTTTGAAAAAAATTATACTTAAAGAAAAAAAAAATACAACAAATACAAATGTTGTTAAAACAAATATAAAGTATACAATTTTGGAAATGAGATAAAATTTAAATGTAGATAATAAATAAAATTAATATATTATAATAATAATATATTAATATATTTTCCAAAATCACAAATAAGGACAAACCTCTTTATGGCAAAACGTTTCTCAACTGAACCACTAAAATGTGAAATTAAGTCGCTCTTTTTTTTACTCTAAAGAAAATCAATAAATCATTGCACCTTCACTTTTTTTCACTGTGGTGTCTTACAGGGAAAAACCTGAATGTTATTGGTTTATAAAGTCACGTGACAGTTGGGGATTTTGGCAGTAAAGTTCTTCCATACCTGCAGACACCTGAGCGCACCTGACAGGGAGAGAGTGTTTGTGTTGAGGTGTGTTACTGCCACTTGGATGCAGAGGATCAACATGGCTGCCCACAGCAGCAGGGGGACTACCGGACTCCTCAGGACCCTCCTGAGCCGCTGCAACACCCCGGGACCGGGACCACACAGGTGCCTATCCTCCCTGCCTGCACCGGGCACCTGGAGCTCCCGGCTGTCCCGGCTGTCCCACCCGGATCTGTACCGGCTCTCGGTCACGGATCCGGATCAGTTCTGGGGATCCGCCGCCGCTGACAGACTCCGCTGGGTGAAACCGTTCCACCGGGTCCGGGACTGCGAGCTCAGCAGCGGGAGGATCAGCTGGTTCCTGGGAGGAAAGCTCAACGTGTCCGGTGAGAGAGATCGATCGACTGTCCGCAATGAATAAAAAGTGTTGGTCGAAACATCGATCCGCGTGCGGCAGGAAGGAAACCGGCGTTAAAGTTTAAAATAAAGTTTAGTCTTTAGAAAAACCTCCACCGGCAGAAGTCGGACCTGATCATAGTGATCACTGACTGAAGTACTCAGGGCGAGTACTTCAGTAAGAGTAGCAATAAAAGTACTGCATTCTGAAGTTTACTTCAGTAAGAGTAGCAATAAAAGTACTGCATTCTGAGGTTTACTTCAGTAAGAGTAGCAATAAAAGTACTGCATTCTGAAGTTTACTTCAGTAAGAGTAGCAATAAAAGTACTGCATTCTGAAGTTTACTTCAGTAAGAGTAGCAATAAAAGTACTGCATTCTGAAGTTTACTTCAGTAAGAGTAGCAATAAAAGTACTGCATTCTGAAGTTTACTTCAGTAAGAGTAGCAATAAAAGTACTGCATTCTGAAGTTTACTTCAGTAAGAGTAGCAATAAAAGTACTGCATTCTGAAGTTTACTTCAGTAAGAGTAGCAATAAAAGTACTGCATTCTGAAGTTTACTTCAGTAAGAGTAGCAATAAAAGTACTGCATTCTGAAGTTTACTTCAGTAAGAGTAGCAATAAAAGTACTGCATTCTGAAGTTTACTTCAGTAAGAGTAGCAATAAAAGTACTGCATTCTGAGTTTACTTCAGTAAGAGTAGCAATAAAAGTACTGCATTCTGAAGTTTACTTCAGTAAGAGTAGCAATAAAAGTACTGCATTCTGAAGTTTACTTCAGTAAGAGTAGCAATAAAAGTACTGCATTCTGAAGTTTACTTCAGTAAGAGTAGCAATAAAAGTACTGCATTCTGAAGTTTACTTCAGTAGAGTAGCAATAAAAGTACTGCATTCTGAAGTTTACTTCAGTAAGAGTAGCAATAAAAGTACTGCATTCTGAAGTTTACTTCAGTAAGAGTAGCAATAAAAGTACTGCATTCTGAAGTTTACTTCAGTAAGAGTAGCAATAAAAGTACTGCATTCTGAAGTTTACTTCAGTAAGAGTAGCAATAAAAGTACTGCATTCTGAAGTTTACTTCAGTAAGAGTAGCAATAAAAGTACTGCATTCTGAAGTTTACTTCAGTAAGAGTAGCAATAAAAGTACTGCATTCTGAAGTTTACTTCAGTAAGAGTAGCAATAAAAGTACTGCATTCTGAAGTTTACTTCAGTAAGAGTAGCAATAAAAGTACTGCATTCTGAAGTTTACTTCAGTAAGAGTAGCAATAAAAGTACTGCATTCTGAAGTTTACTTCAGTAAGAGTAGCAATAAAAGTACTGCATTCTGAAGTTTACTTCAGTAAGAGTAGCAATAAAAGTACTGCATTCTGAAGTTTACTTCAGTAAGAGTAGCAATAAAAGTACTGCATTCTGAAGTTTACTTCAGTAAGAGTAGCAATAAAAGTACTGCATTCTGAAGTTTACTTCAGTAAGAGTAGCAATAAAAGTACTGCATTCTGAAGTTTACTTCAGTAAGAGTAGCAATAAAAGTACTGCATTCTGAAGTTTACTTCAGTAAGAGTAGCAATAAAAGTACTGCATTCTGAAGTTTACTTCAGTAAGAGTAGCAATAAAAGTACTGCATTCTGAAGTTTACTTCAGTAAGAGTAGCAATAAAAGTACTGCATTCTGAAGTTTACTTCAGTAAGAGTAGCAATAAAAGTACTGCATTCTGAAGTTTACTTCAGTAAGAGTAGCAATAAAAGTACTGCATTCTGAAGTTTACTTCAGTAAGAGTAGCAATAAAAGTACTGCATTCTGAAGTTTACTTCAGTAAGAGTAGCAATAAAAGTACTGCATTCTGAAGTTTACTTCAGTAAGAGTAGCAATAAAAGTACTGCATTCTGAAGTTTACTTCAGTAAGAGTAGCAATAAAAGTACTGCATTCTGAAGTTTACTTCAGTAAGAGTAGCAATAAAAGTACTGCATTCTGAAGTTTACTTCAGTAAGAGTAGCAATAAAAGTACTGCATTCTGAAGTTTACTTCAGTAAGAGTAGCAATAAAAGTACTGCATTCTGAAGTTTACTTCAGTAAGAGTAGCAATAAAAGTACTGCATTCTGAAGTTTACTTCAGTAAGAGTAGCAATAAAAGTACTGCATTCTGAAGTTTACTTCAGTAAGAGTAGCAATAAAAGTACTGCATTCTGAAGTTTACTTCAGTAAGAGTAGCAATAAAAGTACTGCATTCTGAGTTTACTTCAGTAAGAGTAGCAATAAAAGTACTGCATTCTGAAGTTTACTTCAGTAAGAGTAGCAATAAAAGTACTGCATTCTGAAGTTTACTTCAGTAAGAGTAGCAATAAAAGTACTGCATTCTGAAGTTTACTTCAGTAAGAGTAGCAATAAAAGTACTGCATTCTGAAGTTTACTTCAGTAAGAGTAGCAATAAAAGTACTGCATTCTGAGTTTACTTCAGTAAGAGTAGCAATAAAAGTACTGCATTCTGAAGTTTACTTCAGTAAGAGTAGCAATAAAAGTACTGCATTCTGAAGTTTACTTCAGTAAGAGTAGCAATAAAAGTACTGCATTCTGAAGTTTACTTCAGTAAGAGTAGCAATAAAAGTACTGCATTCTGAAGTTTACTTCAGTAAGAGTAGCAATAAAAGTACTGCATTCTGAAGTTTACTTCAGTAAGAGTAGCAATAAAAGTACTGCATTCTGAAGTTTACTTCAGTAAGAGTAGCAATAAAAGTACTGCATTCTGAAGTTTACTTCAGTAAGAGTAGCAATAAAAGTACTGCATTCTGAAGTTTACTTCAGTAAGAGTAGCAATAAAAGTACTGCATTCTGAAGTTTACTTCAGTAAGAGTAGCAATAAAAGTACTGCATTCTGAAGTTTACTTCAGTAAGAGTAGCAATAAAAGTACTGCATTCTGAAGTTTACTTCAGTAAGAGTAGCAATAAAAGTACTGCATTCTGAAGTTTACTTCAGTAAGAGTAGCAATAAAAGTACTGCATTCTGAAGTTTACTTCAGTAAGAGTAGCAATAAAAGTACTGCATTCTGAAGTTTACTTCAGTAAGAGTAGCAATAAAAGTACTGCATTCTGAAGTTTACTTCAGTAAGAGTAGCAATAAAAGTACTGCATTCTGAAGTTTACTTCAGTAAGAGTAGCAATAAAAGTACTGCATTCTGAAGTTTACTTCAGTAAGAGTAGCAATAAAAGTACTGCATTCTGAAGTTTACTTCAGTAAGAGTAGCAATAAAAGTACTGCATTCTGAAGTTTACTTCAGTAAGAGTAGCAATAAAAGTACTGCATTCTGAGGTTTACTTCAGTAAGAGTAGCAATAAAAGTACTGCATTCTGAGTTTACTTCAGTAAGAGTAGCAATAAAAGTACTGCATTCTGAGGTTTACTTCAGTAAGAGTAGCAATAAAAGTACTGCATTCTGAGGTTTACTTCAGTAAGAGTAGCAATAAAAGTACTGCATTCTGAAGTTTACTTCAGTAAGAGTAGCAATAAAAGTACTGCATTCTGAAGTTTACTTCAGTAAGAGTAGCAATAAAAGTACTGCATTCTGAAGTTTACTTCAGTAAGAGTAGCAATAAAAGTACTGCATTCTGAAGTTTACTTCAGTAAGAGTAGCAATAAAAGTACTGCATTCTGAGTTTACTTCAGTAAGAGTAGCAATAAAAGTACTGCATTCTGAAGTTTACTTCAGTAAGAGTAGCAATAAAAGTACTGCATTCTGAAGTTTACTTCAGTAAGAGTAGCAATAAAAGTACTGCATTCTGAAGTTTACTTCAGTAAGAGTAGCAATAAAAGTACTGCATTCTGAGTTTACTTCAGTAAGAGTAGCAATAAAAGTACTGCATTCTGAGTTTACTTCAGTAAGAGTAGCAATAAAAGTACTGCATTCTGAAGTTTACTTCAGTAAGAGTAGCAATAAAAGTACTGCATTCTGAAGTTTACTTCAGTAAGAGTAGCAATAAAAGTACTGCATTCTGAGTTTACTTCAGTAAGAGTAGCAATAAAAGTACTGCATTCTGAAGTTTACTTCAGTAAGAGTAGCAATAAAAGTACTGCATTCTGAGTTTACTTCAGTAAGAGTAGCAATAAAAGTACTGCATTCTGAAGTTTACTTCAGTAAGAGTAGCAATAAAAGTACTGCATTCTGAAGTTTACTTCAGTAAGAGTAGCAATAAAAGTACTGCATTCTGAGTTTACTTCAGTAAGAGTAGCAATAAAAGTACTGCATTCTGAGTTTACTTCAGTAAGAGTAGCAATAAAAGTACTGCATTCTGAAGTTTACTTCAGTAAGAGTAGCAATAAAAGTACTGCATTCTGAGGTTTACTTCAGTAAGAGTAGCAATAAAAGTACTGCATTCTGAAGTTTACTTCAGTAAGAGTAGCAATAAAAGTACTGCATTCTGAAGTTTACTTCAGTAAGAGTAGCAATAAAAGTACTGCATTCTGAAGTTTACTTCAGTAAGAGTAGCAATAAAAGTACTGCATTCTGAGTTTACTTCAGTAAGAGTAGCAATAAAAGTACTGCATTCTGAAGTTTACTTCAGTAAGAGTAGCAATAAAAGTACTGCATTCTGAAGTTTACTTCAGTAAGAGTAGCAATAAAAGTACTGCATTCTGAAGTTTACTTCAGTAAGAGTAGCAATAAAAGTACTGCATTCTGAAGTTTACTTCAGTAAGAGTAGCAATAAAAGTACTGCATTCTGAGGTTTACTTCAGTAAGAGTAGCAATAAAAGTACTGCATTCTGAGGTTTACTTCAGTAAGAGTAGCAATAAAAGTACTGCATTCTGAGTTTACTTCAGTAAGAGTAGCAATAAAAGTACTGCATTCTGAGTTTACTTCAGTAAGAGTAGCAATAAAAGTACTGCATTCTGAAGTTTACTTCAGTAAGAGTAGCAATAAAAGTACTGCATTCTGAAGTTTACTTCAGTAAGAGTAGCAATAAAAGTACTGCATTCTGAAGTTTACTTCAGTAAGAGTAGC